TCTGTCATATGTGGGTGTAAGTCTCGTTCTCGGATGTCTATGCGTGTGTTTATTCTTTTACAGGAGCACAGCTCGCGTTGCAGCATTTCTTCCGCTGATGTAGCCTCTGACAATTTTTCCGTCGGGCACAGCACCGCCTAGCCTTGCTGATGTATCTCTCCTGCAATAGCAGTAGTCGGCCGCGCGATGGTCCTGCTCTCCACCACAGCCGCTGCTGCTGGTCATAATGGGAAAAATATTCACATATAAGATGTGCGTATCTGTGTGCGTGTGTGCTCGTATATATATGGGAGAGAAATCGAGGTATGGCCTCCGTTCCTATACAAGCGCCTGAGGCTAAGTAAACGGGGACATTGTGCTGTTGCTTGCTGCACTGCTGTCTTTTTCCCCAATGCGGTATGACGTGGTATCGTCGTTTGGGTTGGACCAACCCAACTAATATTGAGAACTTCAGCCACATCTAGCCTCGTCTGCGTTTTCCTCTTTGCCTATCGAAATACGTTCTTTATTGTTGAGGAGTGACTAGCTTACCGATAAGTGTGGTCGCTAGGCCAACTGGGAATTTGAATGACCCGGGAGCAGCTCGAAAGCCTAAAGGGAGACGGATCAGGTGTGGGCGGTTTAGTGGAATAGACCTCAGTCTCCTGAACAACGTTCGGCCGACGTCTCTGACAGTTCCCCCGGGGACAGGAAAAACAGTCTATAGAGAAGAACAAAATGGGCGTAAATTGTTGAGCTAGTGTTAGATGCATTCCTTCAGCACCGTAGGTGACCGACCGCCTGTAGTCGAAGTACTACTCTTAAATGGATAACATCTGTACCTTTTTGGCATCGATTTGAAGTAAATTTAACACTGCGCATATAACACATAAGAATATACAACGCAAATAAATCTACTGGTTGGGAAACATCAGTCACTGCCTAAGCCGCTTCTATCGTGGTTGAATCTGTGCAATTAACATGCCCATATGTCTGCGTTTTCTATATCAATTTGGTTAACTGATCTGTGACCATTTTGCACTGGAGTCGTCTGGATTTCTGTGCAGACAGGCAAAATTATAGTGTGGCCACCAGCAGAATCATACACAGCTGGTATTTCCTAAAAATCTACTCTGACAAGAGATACTTTCAATTGATTTAGCAGCATTAACGTTGTCATAACGTAGACCGACACCGTCGGCCAGAAGACGCATTGAAACCTCTTATTGGCTTCGCAAGACAACTTTCCTGCTCTAAGTTATTTTCATGTTACCGAAACTTTCAACACCGCTTCGAAGTAGAGCAATACATCACTTCGATGTGCAGCGATTGACATTAGTATCTCTGTTTTTGTCCTTCTTTATCTGTTACACGATCTTTATTGCTTGTGCTTCGCTTCAAGTGTTGTCTTCATGGTAAATGTCAAATACTGATGTAATCAATGCCAGCGGGTTTTTGTTGTATCCTTTCTGTTTTTCATTAAGCGGCAATGTTATCAATTAATAGGATCACGAAACGATTTATTAACTTCAAGGCTTATTTCATTGGGAACAATACTGCACATTAGCATTTTATGTCTGAAGTACGGTTCCAACAACTTTGATGGGTATAGACCGTTGTAACGATGCATGAACATTGCCCATCATCTAAATACTGCGTGCACAACGCGTGCATAACGCTAGCATTCCGTGCCGTTCCGTGATGGATATCGTTAACAAAGACACTTCTTATTAGCACCTGGTCCGGCTCCCGCTGGTCGCTCTGTGGTAGATTTGCCCAGAACGAAGACCCACTTATTTCCGCGTCTCAAGTTACTTGATGCCCTAGCAACAGCAGGACATATCCCGTCTGTACACAGGCCATAACTTGCATAAGGTTGGGTTTGACAGTCTCATATAGCCAAGGGTTAACTTCCATGAGGCTTCAACCGATTCCAATCGAAGCCTCTCACTGAAGTTCGTCACGGCAGCCGATAATCAACAAGAGCGATCATCGCTCATTTATCTGCACTTGTTCCATTCTCACTGATCACTCTACTAGCCGTCCCCTACTTAATTAATGGTTAACGGTTGCGTAGAATGAAATGCGCTGGGCCCAGAAAAAACTGCAGTCGTGTCGTTTCACTTAATCGGTTGACCCATTTTTGGTTACGTTACAGCTAGAGAAACTGCTTATCTACCCCTAAGTCAGGATACCACTACGTAAAGCAGAATTTTGATAGTAACTTTGGATCTCATTGCTCTTATACATGTATTTATTAAGCATCCGAAACGTCGTATATAAAGATAAGTTTCTATAAATTACGTTTACTTATAGTATATGAAATTGGGGTTGTTTGCTCTGGGATTCAGCACGGTCAAACCTTGCATATTATTTACAGCAGGCGACAGGGTACGTGGCGGTGGAACGACTTGAACAGTCTGCTGTGTAGCCTACGGTCAAAAGTTTAGTTCGGCAAATAGATATACGAAATGTTATTTCTGAAAAGGTACCGAGTCAAATGGGAGGTGGAGGGCTGCGAGGTTACGAGGCGTGTGAACGATGCAGGTCGAGAAGAAAAAACGCAGGGCCAAAAAAATGAAAGAAGCAAGACAGAGAAGTGGGGGTGTGGAGGTGAAAGAGAGAGATAGGGTGAGGGTGGAACTGTTGACAGAGACGGAAGGAAAAACGTTAGGGGCCAATGGGGTACTGGTAAAGAAAAAGAGGTGGGAAGAATAAAAGATGAGCCGTAGATAGGGTGTTGGTTTATGACACGGACGACGCAAAGCGTATGAACGTGAAGAAGAGACCGAGCTGGACGTCAAAAGATGAGCATGGCAAGATAAGGAAGCAGAAGGAAAAGAGCTGGCGGACACGGCTCAACAGAGGAAGCTTAGTAAGCAAAAAAGATATAGGCGCAAGTCCATGGCAAAACGCTCAACGGACGAAGCTGATTCCGCACGAAGGATGCCGATTTTCTTATTACCAAATGACAGTGGCGGCGAAAAGAAATCGGAAAACATGAAGAAGCCGAATCGAGCGAAACCAGTACAAAGCGACTAGGTTTTGCAAAAAAAACCGAAGACGGTCAGCTGGCAGATAAAAAGTCCAGGTTAGCAAGCTAAAAGTTTTGCAAGGAGCCGACAGTATGAGCAGAAAAGCTGGCAGTAACCCTACATTCAGTGATCCGTTCTATGCTAGAAACTGCAAAAATATAGGTGTATACGTTTTGTTCGCTTTATTATCCGTCCGCCGCCCCCCTGTCTGTTGCCCATTTGTCCACCCGCAGTTAATCTGAAGAACGTTCTTGGATGCGTGACGCTAGAAGCACTGAATTTCCAGAACGGTGCGTAACGCCTTAAGTTTGTTACTAACAATGTTGGCTCTCTTCTACATTTCCGCGCACATGTAAAGATATAGCATTCTTAGTCTGCTGCTAGGCTATTTGATAATATTTAATTGATCCTCATCAGATTAATCGAATTTTGGATCTTAAAAACCTAATCCCATTATGTAGGGCCTTGTTTATTACTTTGCTAGTACTGCTAGATATATTAAACGTCCTAAAGGGTGCTATTGAACGAATGGCTTTAGCCATGTAAAATCAATGGATTTATTTAGTTGAATGAGCATTGACTAGACCTGATTATCGTAATGCAGATGATTGTCAGCAGAGTCACTGGAAATCGAAGACAGAGGATGTCTGAGGTCGTATAAAAAAAGAATCTCAACTAGAATAAATATAGCTTTTTCTCGTAAGTACATTCTGTGTTAGGGTCCATTTTACCTAATATTTTCTAAGTAAGTCAGAGGCTTGATTGTGTCTAGCTTCAGGTAATACGAAATGTATTTGACGGACTTCGCGGTGTGTTACTCACTAGATGCATGCGCAACAAAAAAACATAGAGAATTAAGAACTACGTTATAACTGAAGATTAATTTTATCTTATATGTATACGCTTTAACTATTAGTGAAGTAAAGGCGATTTATATAATTGCAAAAGCAACGCAAGTACGATTTCTGAGAAAGAGATTTGGAGAACACAAAGTAACTTTTCATTCGTCGAACAAGGATATTGGATGGGTAATAGGACCAAATTATTCTGTTATAGGTGCTGTGTCGATAATACGGTAATAGACACACTTTAAATGCGAAAAATAGATACTTAATTAGTGATTTTATATGCATAAGGTACCCCTCGAAAGGCTATCATTTACTAGCTTTTGATATACTTGCTATCAAGTGTAAAACAATTAAGCATGTGTATGGATTTCAAGTGGGACGCATAAGGTTCCCTAAGGACAAGACTGCTACCAACAAACTGAGAAGGCGTTTTTAAGCCTTTGTTCATGCGAAACGTTTGCGATCGGCCTACGAGCCTACAACTACAACAACAATAACAATATATAACAATAACAACAATAAATGAACATTGTTCTCAGGCCCATTAAGGCTAGCTAATGTTTTCCCTTGTCGTTGTCATGTCTGCTACTAGGCCAAGCAGGTCAGTCAGTCAGTCGCCAGAATCTCAGAAACTAGAATTCTGTTTACAACTGTGGACTGTTAACCAAAACTTGAACCAGCCAGGGACGCAAGTTGTATTTTCAACGAGAAATGTCCTTGTACATTTCCAATTGCGTGTTGTTCGCCACATCGAAACGCTTGGATGCTCAGACATTTTATTATTTAAGTAATCGATGTCTCGGACCTAAAACAGGTGTGGGGCATAACCCAGCGAAATCAAAAATATTATTGATTTAATACTTTAAAGATATCTTTATTCAGCTCGAACAGGTTCGAAGAACGTCTAGAACTTCGGTAGCGGAAAATTAGAGTGACAGGAATTAGAGTGACAGCGTCACTTTAATCATACGCCGCAGGAAAGATCTAGAAAGTGATTGTTAATAGAGAGAGGATAGCGATCATTAAGCGGTAAGAAAAACGAAAAAAATATTACATCAGCCGTCCAGATTCCTATATGGAGAGACCAAAATACGTGGGCCTGAAATGATTGTTAGGACATATTATAAAAGGAAGAGATTAATTTATATTATTTATCAAAGATGAGCTTTATCTTTCAAGCAAACTGCCTGTTGGACTCTATTCTCTATATCAAATTAGGACGAAATGTCTTCCCAAGATTCGATCTTTGTCTTTTTATAAAGTAGACGATTCAGCTGCTCATGACAACTGATCATAGGAGAACTCAATGTAAAATATAGGTTTTGTTCCTTGGCACTAATAACTATACTATGAAATATATAGTTTTTTTTTTCACAACTGTATCAGGGTATTCTGGAGGCCAAGAAGAAGAAATACGCAGATTCTACGTAGTAACTTCCTTTTGTGCTAATGGCAATGAAGACGTTGAATCCGGTGGAACGGGAGAACACAGAGTGATACGATCGTAATATTAGAGCGGAGCAGTCCTGCGTAGAACAACAGTTGATCATGACGGTGTGTCGAACTTGCCCCTTTTTCAGAAAAAGTTCGATCGAGTGAGCATTAGTAGCTACGTATTGAAAAATCGAGAAGTACACGTTCACAACTTGCCGCTAAGTTACGTTAGAGATAATTCCTGTCGAACTAAATAGTCTCATTGTAAATGGTCACATATGTTTATATCAACATCCCTTCTATATACACGTACCTAACGAAAAAATAACACGGCATTATGTATATAGGTACTCATATGTATGTAGTATTATACACAGAATAATCTCAAATGTATATCTGATTAATACTGTGATGTCTCGCTCTTGCTCACCATTGCATCACCACAGTTTTTTTTTGTTTTGTTTTTTTCGTTCTTTTTGTGTACTACACTTCAATCTCCACTACAATGTTTCATATCGTAAGCGTGACACGTTCTCCAGCTTTTTTTTTTTCGTCTATTGCTCTTTGTTACAATATATTATATCTGGTAACAAATTTGTGCTTTCTCTTCGTTGTGCCGTTATAGTAGATATATGTATACATATAGATACTGGAGTACAAAATGTCACATTCACGTATAAGTTAATAGATACGGCGATTGATCAGAGCACGCGTATAGGACATAATGTTACACATAGGATTGGCTCGTGGTCTGACGACGTTTGAACTCGGCTGATTTACTAATATTGAATGAATCGGCCAGTTTGAATTCAGCGTTTAATAACAAGTGATACTTGGTCGATGATTTCTATGCATGCATACGCTTTATGAATGAGTATGAATAGTCGCTGTTATTTTTGTCGTTGTTCCTCTGTCTGTTTGTTTTGCCGTCCCTTCGTATTTTGCGAATGCGTATGTGTATAAGTGTGTGTGTGTGTGTGTGTGTGTGTGTGTTTTTGATTCGCGTTCTTCCTATGGTCTTGCAGCGTTTTTCGCCGTTCTCTGAGGGATGCCCGGTGGGTACGTGAGTGGCAGTCGATGTAGTAGTGGCACATGGTACTGTTGATGCTGACAGATGATGATATCGTTCTAATTCTTCTAGATATTGTTTGGAAAAGGCTGATATTTGGGAAATCGGGGGTTACGGGTTCAGAAGCTTCATAAACGTCTTCATGGCTTATACTGTTGCGATGTCCATCTCGTGTTATTCGACAAGACCCGTCACGTCAGGACTCGCTCGGGCTGGTCTAATAGTAATAGTATAGTGCGTTCGTTGACATCTTTCTCTTGAGAGTCCCGCTAACAAGGAGTGCTCGGCTTGTCGAGGTCGACTTGTTATATCGCAGATTTGTCAACATCTCTTGCAAGATGAAGTAAAGGTCAAATGACGGATACGATTATGAGGGCTGTTTGTAGAGTCTAGCGGGGACGGCTTTAGCATTGTACATTATACCACCAATCGCAGACACCCTTTTTTTCGCTGAAGATTGTACCAGCTGCGCAAAGGAACGAGTGACGGGCTTTGGTGACCTTGCTGACACCCGTACAGATGTGCCATACCTGTTCGTGCAATCGACACGTGTTGTATATATGAATGGGCGTGCATCAGGGCAAAGGATAAAATGATGAACGACGTCGGTATTGCCGAAAGGGCGAAGGGTCGACAGAGACAGTGAAAAATACAATACGTTTATTAGAACCTATGATTTTTGGTAACAGCTATACTATAGGAAAAAAGGACGTCGAACGGATTAGAAAATTATAGGTTCTGCAAAACTGCAAAATTAGATAAACAAATATATTAATATTTAGTTTATTGACGAATGAACATCTTTGAGACCGCATTAGATTAGACTTGTTGTGGAAGACTGCAACGTCCTAGAAACCTTAACATTCTAGATGAAGCTTGCCTGACTCATTATACTTTTGTATAATTTAGAAAACTATGCCGAAATCGAGCGTTAACCTAAACTGATGATGAATTGACTGATATTGTTCAGTATATCTAGTGGTCAGAAAAGGCAGCATAGTCTGATATGTCATCGATCCGAAGCTTATCTAATGTGTAGAAATCTATCAATACCTGACATCCAGCTTCCTTGTCGGCATACATTCCAGCTATTTTTTTGTTCTCACAACTGAAGTTTGTTTCCGGGATTTGCACATAGTCGGGATAATCCACGCCAGGAATACCTAGTAGTTATACGAAATGAGCAGTCGGTGTAACGCAATGCAGGATAATATGCGTGAGGTGTTACGTTAACGTATTGTGATCCTTTAGCTATGGTAATAAATTGATGATTGAATGGCCGCTTGCGGAAATGGTAATGCGATTTCTATAAAATCTGAACGCTGTCGAGTCTCTACGGCCCTCGACATATGTCAAAAATATCGTTCTTTGTATTAGTGGCCGCTTACGCCGGATCAGGCATTGTTGGTCCAAATTGGAATATTTACTGAAGTGAATCGGACAAAGTACCTTTTCCAGGACTTGATAAGGTGACGAATGTAAATCGCCTCACTTCGACAATTAGTATTGATTTTTTATATCTCCTCTTATCAGAGAGTCTACACCAATGATGCAACAAGAAATACCAGATGGGACAAGCTCTGGAGAACAGTAAGGTTGATTCAGAGGAAACGATCAACTAAAAATGGATTTATTATTATTTTCGTATATATATAGATAAACGCCTCATGTTCGTAAAGGGTTTGTTTTAAACGCGTGTCAGCGATTTTTTGTCACTTTGCTGTTAGTAGATAATATGGACGAAGTCTCAGATTCAGCATGGTCCTGTCGTAATGTTGACGTTAAAATAGATCCGACTCGGATAGCTTGTGGACATGCATAAATTATTTGCTTAATTGGAAATAAAATAGAAAGCAAATAGACACTGACACAGGCCCAAGTATACATAGTAGATTATATAAAATATCACAAAAGTTAATAGAAAATGAGATGCTGGCAACGAGATTAGAAATTCCTTAAAACATAATAATGATTACTAGCAATGAATAGTGAGAAAATTCCGGATCAGTTCAACGAACTAGCCAGAAATAGATACGCACCGTATCCAAGGTACTATAAGAAGTACTTTATTTTATATACGCTGCTGTAGTTATGGGTTAGTATGTATCATCTAAAAATAGACAGATAGAAAAACGTGCTCTAGTGAAAAAAAGAAACAACTGTTCAAAGTTGATTAAAACTAGTTTCGCATTAAACTTGGCTTTCGCATATTTATAATATTAACTTACATTCAGTAACATTCATAAGAGACAACAATTGCGACCGATGACGTATCTATTACTGGAAATTATATTATAACGGTAAAACAATTATAACCTACTTTTCAGTTAAAAAAAACACTCCATGTAATACAGGCTATTGATGCGGATCAAAGTTACGAAGCTGGCACACGAGGGAGACCTTAAATGATTCAATTAATTCTTCCAGTAGTACTAACTTCACACTTCAATATATCTACATTAGCGGGCTATGTGCATCCAACGTAACGTCCGGGAAACAGACGAGATTGATCTTATTCTAAGCCTGCAACTGGCAAGTACGCAAAGAAGATTATAGGGCGATTACGCAAAACTACAGATTTTCATCATTACGGAAAGCTGTCGCCAAAATTTTCAACTATTCAGACACATCATGGGTCGTTCAACTTAATTACGAAATAATTAATAGTACCAAACAATGCCTAAAGATTAATGGTGCGCTGTATCTAGAACCGTGTTATGTGAGGTACAAATAAAAAGAACTTTGCTCACAGCTTAATATTAATAACAACTCCCGTTAAAAAGGTGAACCCGTTTGCCTAAAGAGTACGAAAAAAACAACAATCAGACGTAGTTTTTGACATTCATTACCTTTTTTGCTCGAACGACGTCTACTTGAAGCTGATCCCGACTTGAACCTTCTGGTTAGAAGCTCCTGCTTGGTACGCTCCTTCTCCTTTTTGCCTCGTGACTTCTTTCCTTCACGAAAGAGAAAAGCGTCGCCCCAGACAGACGATTTTGAGGATGAAGAACTCTGTAACAGAAAGCACGTATAAAAGCGATTTTTTACTGGCACAGTTGAACGCCAGAGTATGTATGCATATACACGCTGGTAACTGCGTTTATAGAGGGAACGAGGTGTGGGGATACGGAGTAAATCTTGATTTCCTCACGAAATTGCTCGAATTATTATGTCTAGTCAAAAACCGTCTGAAAACCGTTAAGGGCGAAACGCCAGTGCAACTTCCAAGAAAAAGATAAAAAAGACCAAAGAAGGAATAGTCGTGTTCTCAAGCTTGACGAAAATGTACATACGTCCTTATCTCACGTACTTCGTGTCTCTTGAAAACCGACCTGAAGTCGGGAAGCTAAGGCAAGTGTGTTAAAAAAGAGCGTGCTGTCTTGACTTATATCGCTTGAAACAATTTTTCTTCTAGGGTTGCTAATGTATTGGAAATGGGAAGCTGATGCTGTAAGCTTTCCGATGGTGTTACAGCCCTCTCCTACCGCAATATATGGTTAACAACTTCACTTACAGTCTCACATAAATAGTTACTACCTGGAGCTTTTGCAGCCTACATAGGCGACATTTACGCGCAACGTAAGCGTAACGACTCAGACATGAACAAGCATAAAGCAGCTTTACACAATAGTAGCTTTGAATGCGCGCAGTATTTTTATGAAGATTTTTTTCATATGTGTTAAAACCCGGGGAAAGGGCAAAAAACGCGCAAGCCAACGAGTAAGCTCGAACAGTATAGAAAGAATGTTTAAATTTAAAAAAACGTCTGAGATATCAGATGGATATGCACCTTAGGAGGTTGGCAGATGCTTCTGGCCGAAGTCGACCAACACAAAGCTTGTATTTCTGATAATCCATGAGAAGTAATGACACCGATAGCGCAACTATTTAGATCCATATCGCAATATTTTGGGGTAGAGCTCTAGCACGCATAGGGTTAGCTAAACCTGGTATCGTTCTTTACGTAGTTATCCCGAGTTATCCTCAAGTTGTAACTTGAACGGTTGCACGAACTATTTGTGTCTAATTCTATTGCAACTCCGTTCAATGATTCGAGTTACAATTAAATGAGAAATCAAAAATACTTTCTGAGCAGAAACGTTTTCTAAACATCGTAAGGTCTTCAATGCTCTATTATTTTTCCTTTTACGATAAATCGCATTATTATCTGGTAACCAAATTTAGGTTATTCTATGTGGTGAACTATTGCAGGTATATCGACACAATCAGCTTTCAGTTGATATATGATAGAGCTAAAACGATATATAGATTTACATGCAGGAGTTTACAATGTACTTTTTTCATATATATATATATATCAAGTGTAAGTAAGACCTGAAATCAATTTGTGAAGCGTTTTAAGCTCCTCTCTCAGTCACCAGTGAATTTATTCAGATCCATTACACGATGCATATTCATTGCTTTGCCTAGCGGCAATTCTGATAGTCGAGCTCTCTGCTCCCACTTACTTCCCCGCTGACCCCCTGGCGGCTTCCCCATGGACACCTACAGACGACAATCCCTATTAAGTCTGCCCAACGCTACGTTCGCATGCAACTCGGTCTCGAACTGACACTCAAGGGTAGCTCTCGCTGATCGTTATCTAAACTTGTCTCGTGCTGCTGCTATCGAGCTGCTCGTGGTACGCCATCGGACCATCATCGCCTGGTGAGTCTGACGGCAACTGAAGCAGCGTTCAGCCTGACTCTGCGAAGCTAGCCGGTCTGACGTCGTTACTCCATTTAGCAGCCGGCAATGGATGCGTCGATGCTGCTACAGCGGGGTCTGCTACAAAACAGCTGTGGGTCTCGGAAATACCTAGGCAATTGTAGCGTGGCCCTATTCCGCTGAAGCCGTTACTTTAATTGGAAAGCGTCCAAGAGATGCACGCCGAAGTTGACCTCCGTCTATTTTCCTCTACCAGTTAGCTACTGACTTCGGCAAAGTAAAACAACAATAAAGTCAAGTCGACATCGGCAGCAATGATCGTACCGTTAGCTATAGGTTTCTCGGGCACAAGAGGCACAAAGGGCACAAACACTTTTTTTAAGTCTTTGGAGCGACCATCAGTCCGCCTGCTGGGATACCCACTGGAAAAGCATAGGTCTTCGAACAGCAAGTAAAACCATAGAGAAACTGTGAATTAATTGTTTTGCTTTTAAGAACCTTTTTAACTTTATGGGTTAATAGCTATAAAAAAAGGTGCAGCAAATATTACAGCGGATTTACAGAAATATTTCCTCTAGCGCTCTGGTAAAATACATACATGCACAAGTTAACCCTTTGTTATCATTCGTACACCTAAACTCGGATCATTAAGTTTAGACTAATTCACTGAAACATGTTGTTTTGTAATGAACTGCTGAACAGAGTCTACATGCGAAAAACTTAGGTAAGCTTTTCAGTTTTTTTATGATCGAAGTACGTTTACCCACTTTGATGATTCGACAATTTGCCACAGCATCTGGGACAGGCTATATCATAGAAGATCAATAGATTTGCTGACTGGAACAGCGAAGACTAGAGAAAAACATAGTAATCATAATAACAATTATTATTATTATTATTATTATCATGTATCTCATATACAAGGCGGAAATGTTTGCAAGCTGTACGGCCTATGCTTGATCAAAAAATCATCACGATTTTATTTAGAATATTCTGTTCAAATGTAGCTCCCGAAAAGGAAGCTATGACGAACTAACGCCTATCGTAATGATTGTGTAGTATGCGCGCGCATCAAGCGTCGTGACTCATCACGGTACTCGATCGCGGGTCGGTCCGCAAAGTTGGCAGTGCACTAGGTGCAGGACACAGGGTCCTGTTAGAGGACTCGTGTTGTTGCTACTGTTTTTTCTACTATGATTGAAGCTGTTAAATGATGTATCGGATTGATTTTTTCAAACTACTTTATTTACTGTTGCTTCGAAAACTACGTCAGGCTTTTTATGTCGTAATCCATAGACAATATTGCACGTGCTAGGCGAACATTAATTCTGTCCATTCTAGTGCCTGTCGACTACGTATAGGGATTTATTTACACATTTATACTGATTATATAGGCTTCGTGAAGCCGTATTATATCATCACCGTTATCAGCTTAATTACTGTCGTGATAAGCGCCGTCGTTTACAATATGGTTTATATAATGATATTAACAACGCACAAATTATGTTTGCATAGTTTTCCCTTATAAAATTTGCCTATATAATTTAGTTGCTCACACACACACAAGTGAGCCATATATCGAATTTAGTATCGTCCTTTTCTATTTACGTTTCATTATCCAATTTTCATATTATTTTTGCCTTAAGATAATTAGTCGACTAGGAAAACTGTTTACTCATTTGTCTCGCGGTTTTTTTATTTATCGATTCTATTCTACTATTTTTAACACGGTTTTAGCATGCTCACTAGCGTTCTTCCACCACTATGATACGCCTTCACTCGGCCATTAAACGACGATACTAACAAAAGCTGAACATGGAAACATTGCTTCTTTATGGGTCCTTAGCAAAGATTCGATGTACCCGCTCCATCGCCCCTGAAAAGCCCCACATCACGCACATGGCGAAATTACGGAGAAAATATCTAATTGCTCAAGCACGAAAATCTGAGAGCATCGCGTGTTGTTATTATATGAGTAAACATACAAATAAGGATTCCAGTTCCTGCTAGGTACTTGTCCACAGCTGCCCTGTGCGATTATAATAGCTGCCATTTTTTCTGTCCTGCTCACCTTTTCTTATTATTTTTATTACTACACTATAACGATGATTATCAATATGACTTCGTTAAGTGGATGCTGCCCATTTTATATTTGTGACCAGACAGCACAAAAGGAAGCTACGTGTAAAGCGATAGGATAGAAAAAGGGTCGATGATCGTCAACGATAATAGTCTACCAGGCACGTATCAATTGCGTGGATTCTGTGTGAGTTACAGCCGTTGCCGTAGCATATTATTGGTGGCAATAGTGGTAGCCTGCTATCTTCATCTTTTCGCCGATTCATATAGCATTGTATAGGAAAAGCCACCTAAATTCAGCAAAGATTAGTTTGAAACGCACTTCGTCAATATCCCTTTTTTTTTTTTTTTCTGGGGATTTGCTAAATACTAAGACATAGACTAAAAAAATCGGCGATAAACGAAACTAACTAGCGTTGGCTTCAATTCGTTGTACTTTCTGTCGCCAGGCCAAATAGCTGACGAGCCTTTAATAACGTTAATGAGCCAGTACCTTACTGCACTGAATGCATCTGTCTCGTGTTAACGTGACGACTGTATATAGATGCGACGGTTGCAGTCGGTCGCACTATGTAATTTTAGCGGTGAGACAGGACTGAGGTTTCACACTTGTGACCCCACGTCGTACCTCTGCCCAACGGCGATGGCACCAGCGCCGGGTCAAATTGCCTCAGGCCTCGAAAAGACGATTGCCGCTACGAGGAACGAAGTAGCACCAGCGCAGTCGGCAACTTGAATGGCCAACCTATATCCTAATACAAACGCATAGTCTTCTACTAGACACGTACGTACACGAAGCACGTGACGAAGCAATGCTTCGACACATGTGCTGTGAGGTCATGAACACGACGATGGGCTGGGGGACAGCATAGGTAGCGGCTGCGGTGGGTACGCTAACGACGGACGCGAAACAACGGGCGGACAACGACAATAAAATGACAGCGAAGTGAAAGCTCCTAGTAGATAAAACGGGAACAAGTCAAAGGAAACTAGTAGTATTTTTTTTTTTTTCGCAGACTGTCTATGTTCTATACTTGATGACAAAGTGATTCCGCGCTCGCTCTGCCATTTCGCCTCTGACCCGATCATTTCTGTATCATATCTTCCTCGGTTGGTCGGTTGATTGACTTTTGTCTGACAGCTAGAACGTTGCCGACGGCTAGGGATTACGATTAGCCAACAGCCGAAATAAGATTAAGTATTGCACACTTACTTACTCGTAAAGAACGAGCGGAAGACAAGATCCTTGATGACTGTTGGCTGAC